CTAAGAAGAGGAATTGTTGGGGTTCTGGAAGGTTCTGTGATAATAATATCTTTTTCTTGATTCAGATATATTATTGATATATAATGTCTTGTTCTCTCTACAAGGATAATATCTAGAAGTATATTATTATTTGGATTTGTTGTGGCAATTTGGGAACTTGGATTGTTGTCAGATATTGTGATTGGGTTTTACTCAGTCATGTTTGTTTGGTTCATGTTGGGTCGCGTAGCTGTTTGGTATTGATGTGATGTTTACTGATTTTGGGAAGCGTGGTTGTTTACACGTAACTGTTTTTGTGTTAATAGAATATATGGTTATTCCATTAGTGCTGTTATAATTAAAGTTGACGTGATTTGATAATAACATGTATTGACACGTTTTGCTGATAAGTATATGTCGTTTGTGTTTATTTGTTGATGCTTTTTTGACTACGTGTTCAAGATACTTGTTTTGGAGGAGTAAACTAATTTGGTATTGACACGTTTTGCTGATAAGTATATGTTGTTTACTTGTTTACTTATTGAAGCTCTTTTCTAACTACGTGTTCGTAGTACACTAGTTTTGGAGGGGGTAAGCTGATTTTGGTTTTTATGTCCCGAGAGTATGTACGATAGGGTTTTTTTCTTATCTCTGTATAGTTGATGGGGAGCCTGGCATCCTTCTAGCTCAAGGAAGGTGACAAGATTGTCTGATTTATCGGATGAAATCTGGCCTTTCTTGAGTTTCTACAGTGTCTAGAGGAGGTGTTTAACCTGGCACACGACTGGCTGTAGTGGTGGTAGGGATGCTGGCTTCCTGAGACCTTACTGTGAATCAGGAAGTTTGGTTTTTATCTTCCCCTCTTACAAGAAGAGGACAAGTTGTTGTTTTTCCTTATAATATCTATAAATTGATAAGTTAATGAAATAAATGTACTTGCAAGGTTATACCTGTTAGTGGTGGTTTCTTGGAGTTAGAAGTGTTTTGATAAAGAACTTGATAAGTTTTTGTTTCTGAGAAATATTTTTTAATTAGGAAATTTGGTGATGGACAGGAAAGAGTTTTATTTAATTTAAAATTATATTGTTAATCAAATTTTTTTGTAGTAATAAAAAAATGTATAGATTTAATTATTATTACAAATTGATATTTTATAATTTAAATTTGAAAATACTAATTATCATATTATTGATTTATGGATTTTTTAAATTAATCAATTAATTTAAATTATTTGATTATTATTATATATTTTAAAAATAATTATAAAAATAATAAAAAAAATAAGTAATAAAATAATTTTATTTTATTTTAATATTTAATTGATATATAATTAATTAATAACTTATTGATTTTTTTTTTTTAATTTTATTGTAAATTATGAATTTTTTTTTTTTGTATAATAAATTTTCAAGTACTGTCTTGTTTAACAAAAAACAAGTTGTATTTTTTTTTAAAATCAATATATATTTGTCTTATATGTATATTTCTTTGTTTTTTTAAATATAAATAAATAAATACGTATATATTTTTTATACTATTATTTATATATCATTATACTATTTAAATTTATTATAATTATAATTTAATAAACTCATAATTTAATATAATATTAATATACGTAATATATTTATACAAATTAATAAAATAAATTAATTTTCAAAGTATAGTTCAGGCTTATATATGAATATTAATATATTTTTATTGTATATTTAAAATTTATTAGTTATAATAAATTAAAAAATAAATCATTTATTAATTTCAAAACATAGCCTAGGTTTACACGCTAGTTGAAATAACATACAGTTATTAAAAAACACTCGGATTTTCTTAAACCGATAATTTAACTTCTTCAAGATTATCTTTTATTAGATATGCAGCATACGTAATACAATAAAATATCAGTGATAATTGCTATAATTTTTTTTACCGTCCTACCAAATTGGCACCTATGTATTTTTTCATGAGTCAAGTAAAATATGATGTATTGCCAATAAAATAAACAAATATTATTTAAATTTAGAAAAAATAGATACAATATGTTGTAATTTAATACAGTATGTTGGGCACATGAATCTCAAAAAAGTTATATAGAAAATAGATTGATTTTCCTTTTTTGTACATGATTTTAAAAATCAAACTTAATTCTATATAAAAAGAGATCTCGAAAAAACAAACACCGAAAATCAGATTTTCGTGTTCACAAAATGATTATATCTAATTTTGCTAGAAAAAATATCCCTTCGGCTTTAAGACATTATACGCACTCCCTTAAACCTTTATTAGCGTGCCCCAGGTATTTACGAACGTTTGAAATCTTTATCCGAGACATTCACATTAAATGATCTTTATTGTTAAGATATTTCCGACACTCAGCTCCTGCCCAAAATGTTGACGTTCAACCTTCTCTTCATACATTAACTGAAGAAGAAACAAGTATTCGGGATGCAGGTATGACTTATTATTTATGACTTATACGAAACCTCGGTAATTAACATTTTTCCTCTTGCTTAAAGTTGCGCATTTTGCTCAGGAAAAGATTTTACCGAAAGTCCATCAAATGGACGAATCAGAAACACTTGACCCAGAAGTTCTTAAAGGCCTTTTCGAACAAGGGGTCAGTAATTCAATTTAATTATCAGTAACAAATTCGCTTTTTCTGGTGCTTGATAAATTATAAAACTTTTTTGGCTTTAGCTTATGGGTATTGAAACAGAATCGGAATACGACGGTGCTAACAGTTCTTTCTTGGCTGCAATTTTAGTTGTAGAAGGTAAACTTTTCTTCTGATTCCTAATTATTTTATAATCTTGAATCTCATTATTAATTTTTAAACAGAACTTGCCAAGGTGGATCCGTCAGTTAGTGTCGTTTGTGATGTTCAGGTTATTCTCATTAATTGAAAATGGACTAATCATTTAATTTATTAGGATACTTATCAAAAAGTTAATTTATAATTATAGAATACATTGGTCAATACTTTATTCCGTAAATATGGCAACGAAAATTTAAAAAAGAAGTATTTACCTCGTCTTGCAACCGATACAGTGAGTATTACTTTTAATTTATAAATTATTTCTTTTGTATATATTTAAGTTTTATTATTTCATAGGTTGGTTGTTTTTGCCTCTCTGAATCTGAAGCGGGTAGTGATGCATTCGCGCTTAAAACTAGAGCAACAAAAGAAGGTGATCATTTCGTGATTAATGGTTCAAAAATGTGGATTACAAATTCTGGAGAAGCAGAAATTTTTTTGGTCTTTGCCAATTTGGGTAAGAATAACTTCAAACCTATGAGTAGTTTTAATTATTCATACAAGAATTAATTTTTTTCATAAAAAAATTTAGATCCATCTAAGGGGTATAAAGGAATTACTTGCTTTGTTTTAGAAAAAGATATGGGAGTTAAAGTTGCGAAAAAAGAGAGCAAGGTTTTTATTGAAGTTTTCTCAATCTATATTTTTGATTTAAATATTGACTTATTCTCGTATCTTTTTTTTTTAGCTTGGTATTAGGGCTTCTTCGACATGTACATTGAATTTTGACAATGTCAAGGTATTTTTTTTCTTGTATACATTTTATGTATAATAATCGTTCTTACTTATATTTAAATTATTTAGGTTCCTGAGGAAAACGTTCTCGGAGAAATAGGAAAAGGTATTATTACTAATGATCGCGAGCTTCCGTTTTTTATATCAATTTATATCAATCAACATTACTCCTATTTTTAAGGCTACAAATATGCTATCGAAATTTTGAACGAGGGTCGAATTGGTATAGCTGCCCAAATGATTGGTTTGGCTCAAGGAGCTTATAACCACGCTTTACCATATTTATTCCAGAGGAAGGCATTCGGAAGTTACATCGGTGACTTTCAGGTAAATGTATATAATGAAGCGTATGTTATTAGCATTTCGTTGTATTCAATTAATAAATCAATATTCGTGTTTCAAGGGCATGCAACATCAATATGCTCAAGGTTAGTGCAGATCATATATGAACATATAATATTTTTTAAACAAAAACTAAAGATATTCTTTAATTATAGTCGCTACTGAAATAGAAGCAGCTAGGCTCCTAACATATAATGCGGCCAGGATGAAACAAGAGGGAAAGAATTTTGTCAAAGAAGCTGCATTTGCAAAATTATATTCTTCGCAAGTTGCTGAAAAGGTTGTATAATTTCTAAAGAGTTTTTTACTTTATGTAACTTACTAATATTATAGTATTTAGGCCGCTTCAATGTCCATTGAATGGATGGGAGGTGTGGGCTTTACTCGAGAATTTCCAGGTAATTACTTAACGTAATTTGAACCTTTATTATATAAATACTAACTTTCGACGTCCATCAATAGTCGAAAAGTATTACAGGGATGCAAAGATTGGTAAGCCTTTTAAATTGATTATTATTATAATTTCCTTATTTCTAATATATATTTTATAATACAATTACAGGTTCGATATACGAAGGAACTTCAAACATCCAATTATCAACGATTGCTAAATTAATATCGCAGAAATATAGATCATAATGAATTTTTACAATACGATATTTGTATTTTTTTTAAGGAAAAAAGAAAATTCTCGTGACACCATAGGGAATAACTAACTAGTCGAAATTTGTCAGACTAAGAATTATATATTGTTAATTACAGCGATTCTAAAACAAATTTTGGAACGATTCAAAAGTTGGATGTAAAATTTAAATTTCCGATGTATCAATGTTTGAAAGTACTACTGTATTTCTTCTGATCGACTCAATAAAATAAACAATTTAATCTAGATTTATATCTTATATATGAAAAAAAAAAAGGATAATTTAATTCGTATTCTTCTTATACTAAATTTATTGACCCATATAACATATGATTTTAATTTTAATATGTATACGAGTCTATGCGATTCCAATTTTAGGGCCTTGAATTGAAGAAGAGCGGCTCGGGCTCATGTTCTCTGGATATCGCTCATTAAAACCTGCCTTGTTGAAAGACCACCTAACAATTTACATGTAAAAGCTATTGATGTATATGAAGAAATTTTATATTGAAATAATTGTATTAGTATTATATATCAGTTGTGAACACCAACTAAATAAATAATTGATTTTATTGATAGAATAAAAAGTAAAGAGTATATATTTCAGAAACTGCATATTTGATTTAAATATATTAAATCGAATAAATGTTTGTTTAAAAATCAATAATGGTTTTTTTTTTTGAAAAAAAAAAATAAAGATTACCAAAACACTCAATGCAAAGTTTATTGATTTGTGGTTTTGGAAGTCGAATGCCTCAGAATCTGATAAACGTATCTTATCAAAATCGGAACGCTTTTAGGAATTTGTTTGTTACTTTTAATTGACTCTTGCATAAATTTAAGTAATATTCGTATCTTATATTGCTATCTGTTATCACACGCCGAAACTCGGTTACAATTAGTTTCTTATCAGATGCGAAAATCAGATAATATATTTATATCATCAACAATGGTCTTATCTTTATTGGTCATAACGAATTATTACAGATATGCCTTTTAAAGATTAATAATTCACAGCAAATTTTTTATTCAAGTTGATCTTTGCATCTCTTATATATATAAGACATCATTTTTCTATCATCCAACATTCTTTGATTATTCACTATGTCTCATAATAAGCTGCTATCGAATTTTTCTTCAAAGATCGGTAAATTGCTTGAAGATGACGATGAATACAACACAATTATTAGAGTAGGTGAAGAACCAAATGCCAAATATTTCAATGCACATTCCATTATTTTGCGGGCGGTTTCCCCTTATTTTCATGAAGCTTTATCACGTAAAGATGTAAATAAGGAAGGAAATAAAATTTGTCTAGTGAAACAAAATTTATCTGCCTCTATATTTGAGGTCATATTAAGGTAAAAGTTTTTGAAAACGTGCATAAAAGAAAAAGTTCATGGAAATCGAGGTGGATGACATTGCGATTTTTTTTTTTTCAGATTCATGTACACTGGAACCATTTCTATGGAAAATCGCAGCAGCACAGAAATCACTAAGCTTCTTGAGGCAGCCCGAGAATTAGGGCTATCGGAATTAGTTGAATTTCTAAAGGATCATCTTATACAAGATAGGAACCCAAAAACGCAGAACACATCCACTGTTACAAACACATGCGTAGTACAAAGTCAAGGTCACGCCAATAGCCCACGTGAATCATCGAAATTTGTTAGTAAAAGAGGTCGAATCCGGCTCGTTGGCGCTGGACCCGGAGACCCAAACTTATTAACTCTCGCCGCTTTCCAAGCCATACAAGAAGCCGATGTCATCTTATCCGACAAATTAGTGCCTAACGAAGTGTTGAAATTGATTCCTCCCCATAAGGAAGTACTTATTGCTGCAAAAAAGTTTTGTGCGAATGTTGAGGCTTCTCAGGAAGAGCTAAATCGTTTGGGTCTTGAAGCTTTAAATCAAGGGAAAGATGTTGTAAGACTAAAACAGGGTGGTATGTATTTTTAGTATAATTTACACATAATTTGTTGTAAAACTTGCTAATATATAACAAATTTCTCAGATCCGTTCCTGTTTGGACGTGGCGGCGAAGAGTTCCTCTTTTACCGTTCAAATGGTTACGTTCCACAGGTCATTCCTGGTATTTCTTCTTGTATGTCCGCCCCCTTACTGGCTAACATTCCTGTCACACATCGGGGAGTTGCATCCCAATTGCTTGTTTGCACAGGTACTGGTCGTAAAAATACTTTACCCGAGATTCCTACTTATCATCCTTATTGCACAACCGTATTTTTAATGGTTTGTCATCGGATAAAACAAATAACGCAAGATCTGATGAAAGATGATAATTTTCCACCAGAATGTCCTTGCGTTGTTATCGAAAGGGCAAGTTGTATAGACCAAAAGGCTATAAAGGGGACAGTGGGTACTATTGCCGATATTTTAGAAAGGGTCGGCCATAATCCTCCAGGAACGTTGGTTATTGGGTGGACTTGTTTGACTCTAGAATAATATTTAATTCAAATTTCGTAGATCTTTCTGCGCCACAAAAAAGATATCTCGTGACCTTATCTCTATCAAATAAAAGTTGGGCCAATGGCCATGATTATAAAGTGATCTAACTCTCGAGAATTCCTTGAACTTCGGTTTTTGAGCTTAGCATCGTAGCATGTTGAGAAAGTTGTTTTTAAACAAAAGTACGCAGGTCGTCAAATAGCTCTATGATAGTTTTTAAAACAAAATATTGTTAGGCTGGCCGTGATTTAAAACGACCAAACTTATTGACGTTTTACTTTTGTTTAAAGTGTTTCGAAACTCCTGCCTTCGAGTAAATGTAGTACATCCCACAATTTCGAAGAGAGTCGCAAATTTTGCTACAGTTACAACCACTGCACCAACCAGTCGCACATATGGTAATCTCAAGGATGAAGACCGAATATTCACAAATTTATACTTGCGACATGACTTTAAATTAAAGGGTGCAAAGCAGAGGGGTGATTGGTATAAAACCAAAGAGATACTCTTGAAGGGACATGAGTGGATCCTAAAAGAAATCAAGGAGTCTGGTCTTAGAGGTCGTGGTGGGGCTGGATTCCCAACAGGTCTGAAATGGAGTTTCATGAATAAGCCTCCAGATGGCCGGTAAGTAATTTTCTGAATTTTTTGACATAATTTGTCTCTAGTATTATTTTAATAGTAGATTCTTTGATATAATAGTCCTAAATATTTGGTTGTTAATGCTGATGAAGGTGAACCGGGCACATGCAAAGATCGAGAAATCATGCGTGGCGATCCACATAAACTTGTTGAGGGATGCCTGGTGGCAGGCAGAGCGATGAACGCATCTGCCGGTAATTCCATTATATTGCAAAGCTTAGTTACTGTGGCCATTTCCTTTTTTTTTTTTTTTACCTTTCCATAATTTACACTCCTTATCTTTTCTCTCTAGCTTATATATATATCAGAGGCGAATTCTATAATGAGGCATCAAATGTACAAGAAGCCATTAATGAAGCATACGCCGGTTGGTTTTAAGTTTTTGATGTAAAAAACGCATACCGGGTTTATGATTTATCATTTCAATATTTTAGCTGGACTCATTGGCAAGAATGCATGTGGTTCCGGTTATGATTTCGATGTATATATTCACCGTGGTGCTGGTGCTTACATTTGTGGTGAGGAAACTGCCCTGATAGAATCACTCGAAGGAAAACAAGGAAAACCTAGACTAAAGCCTCCGTTCCCAGCCGACATTGGCTTATTTGGTTGCCCAACTACGGTAGCTAACGTTGAAACTGTGGCTGTGGCACCCACAATTTGCAGACGGTATTAGCACATGTGCTTATGTTAAATAGTGCTTCCTTTTATTGATTGTATATTTCTGGTTTTTAAGTGGAGGCTCATGGTTTGCAAGCTTTGGCCGAGAAAAGAATAGCGGCACCAAGCTCTTTTGCATATCTGGTCATGTGAACAATCCTTGCACAGTTGAAGGTATGCAATTTGCTTGAATTAGACTAACTTATAGGATGTTAATTATCAAAATCAATTTTATAGAGGAAATGAGTGTCCCTTTAAGAGAACTTATTGAACGTCACTGTGGGGGAGTACGGGGTGGATGGGACAATCTTCTAGGTATCATACCGGGTGGTTCTTCTGTTCCCGTTATACCAAAACACATATGTGAGGATGTTTTGTAAGTTATCCTATGGTCTGTTTAATGAATGGTTCACTCTTTTTTGGTCAAATGGTTAAATACTTGTTATTTATTGCAGAATGGATTTTGATGCTCTTCGCGATGTTCATTCTGGATTAGGCACGGCAGCAGTTATTGTTATGGATAGGTCTACTGACATTGTTCAGGCAATTTCTAGATTATCAGCTTTTTATAAACACGAAAGTTGCGGTCAATGTACACCATGCAGAGAAGGTACGACATGGCTTATGAACATGATGTCACGCTTCGAGAGAGGTCATGGAGTTTCACGAGAGATCGACATGATCGAAGAATTAACCAAACAGATTGAAGGACATACTATTTGCGGTACATTTTATATTAAATTTTTTACTATATAGCTATTATCTGTTTTATTATTCTAATTGTCTATTTCCGTGTAGCCCTTGGTGATGCGGCTGCGTGGCCTGTTCAAGGATTAATACGTCATTTCCGTCCAGAACTTGAAGCCCGTATGAAGTCGTATATTGAAGCCAACCCTGGACAAGACCTTTCAAAGATTTCTTCGGCATCACCCGGGCTTTAGATTGAAAGCTTGAAATTTTTTTGAGTTTCCGTTGTCGATCCGAAGAAATATCTTGGCACTGCATTAGTCAGGTCCTAGAGCAAAGATTAGAGTTATTGAATCAGTGTCCCTGAATCAATAAATTTCTTGACAAGGGAATGCTGGTTTTCCTTTTATTTTAATGTTTTGTTGTAATGTAAAGAATCTACATTCTGTATTTTTTTTTCAATTGGATATTTTCCAGAAGTGACAGAATAATCATCAAAAATCTTTGTGTTATAATTATAATAAAAAGTCAAAACTCAGTCAAATATTTAATTAAAGAAAATATTTATTATGTAAATTATATTTTGTCAAAATAAAATTTAATGGAAAAAAAATTTTTTTTAAAATTAACACAGTGTTATTATTTTGAGAGAATTGTGTAAATTTAGATTCAGTAAACAAAATATATTTCTATAAAATAAAATTAAATTAAAAGAAAATAATTAAAAAAATAAAAGAAATCAATAGAAATGTAAAATAATTTCAATTTTCTATTGTTTAATTTATTCAATATATAACAATGTTTCAAACATTATTAATAAATTAACTTGAATAGTTGAATACTAAAATTAAAATATAACAAGAAATTTTAATATAAAAATATAATTTTTTAATTTTTTTTTTAAGTTTAACTAACTTCAATAATAAAATATGACCGGAGATATCAGGCCCCGCCATGTATTCCCCCAATTGGAAGAAACGTTGATGAGGAAAAACCAAAAAGAGGATTACGAAACTGAGAAAAAAAAAAGAACTACAGAAGTTATGGACATCGGGAGGAAATTGGAAAAAACGGATGGGAAAAAAGGCTACCTCGCCAAAAAGATGCATGATGGACCATTGAATTACACCCCGCCATATGGATGACTTAATAGAGATGTTGCCTAAATAAGACCAGTTATAAGTTATAAAAGGAAAGGTTAGGAGACTAGAGTGAACGTATTAACACGACAAAAAATTTCAAATAATTATTTTTCAAGTTCATTATTACGTAAATTTATTAATTACTGGTAATAACACTTCGTAAATTTTACTTTTCTTTAATCAAAAATTATTTTATTCATATCTTTATATTTATTTATAATTACATATTAGAAATTTATTAGAAATAGTAAAACAAAGACAAATAAATATTCACTAAACACAGATAATTATATAAACAAATAAATCTTCTTTATTCTACCGAATAGTATAGCTCCTTTCACAAGATGACAATTTACCCTTGGATTTTGCGTATATTATCACTTTTCCTCAAAAAAAAAAAATCCCCACAAAAAAGATACTTTTTTGTAATGTATATACAGGTCTCCGCATTGATTTTATATGCTGAATAGAGGTAATGGACTTTTGGATCAAGATATTTAGTCATAACTCTACTCGGGATGATAGTTGAAGAACCGGGTGGTAAGTTGTTCAGGCCGTGATAATATTCCTTGGATCGTTTAGCGTTAAAAAAAAATAATTAATATATTATTAAACGTTTCTAAATCGATAAATTTAATAATAAATATAAATTAAATTTACATACCTTAATATCGTTCCTCCAAAAAAAAAAAAAACACCCTCAGAAAAAAAAAGGAAAAAAAAAAAAAAACTAAAAAAAGTCAAATAGAAAATACTCAACTCTTTTCACTAGCTATAGAACTGATCCCCCTAAAGAGCTGCTTTCCGACTAGAGGTAATGGATTTTTGGATCGAGATATTTAAGTAGTTTTGTTCTTTTCAGTAGTAGTATTCTTTAACCGTCTAGATACAAAGTTCCATGGCACTTTGCACAAGCTTAAATCAAGTAAATACTCACCAACAAATCCAACTTCTCTAGTCCCGACGAACTCAAGAAGACAGTAATATACATCACTTGCCCTATAATGTCGTACATGCATGGCTTATAAAAAACTGAGTCTCTCGTGTGCACATATGGTACACGCCAATCCCGCCACTCGAGATTAGTGGACATCACTGGGCTAACAAATGAAATAAAAATAATAGGATAGGGAACGACAAGCGGAATAAAATAAAAAAAAAGTCGAATAAAAATAAAATAGAATAATATTTCGAATTTTTCGCAACGCATAGATAGAGTACCAAGGTTGTATGCCGACTAGAAGTAAAACGTGTTCTTGATTGCAAAAGTCCCATGATATCTTTACAACTAGTTCAGGCCAAATTAAAGTCACGACAAATCCGGAAATACAATGTTATAATACCACTTGCCTATGTGTCGTTTCTTAAAAAAATATGACTAACTCCTTGTTGGAATCAGATGACATCATAGACTTGACAAAGGGGCTTTCGAGGGGTTCTTTTTTTAGCCTAAGAAAAGAAAAGGGAAAAATAAGGTCTTTTCAAATAAGGAGTTTCTTAGGTAGAGAGGAAAAGTAAATTGGGTTGATTTTATATGAAAATCTACTTATTTTATATCAAAGGTTTTGATATGTTAATTCACGTAACATGCGTAGTATTACGTACAGTATATCTTATATCATACATGTATAATAGGATACATGTATATGTATTTAATTAACAGTAAATTTTTCATTTTTTATTTAAATAAAATAATATTACTTGAATTTGTTAGATTTTGAATATTATGTATTGCTTAACTTATATAAATTGTAAATTAAAACATTAAAAAACTTTAAATAATAGTAATACGGGTAATTATTTTTGAAGGCAAAAAAATGCTAGATATGATTTTTTCAGATCCAGCTTTTAAACAATACATATATAATATAAATTTTAGGATCACACCAGAAAATTTCTGGTTTATTTTCGAAAATAATTACCCATATAAAATATTCAAATAAAAAAAAACTCTTTCCCATATATAACATTTTTCTTAAAAATTTCTTTTTATAATAATTTTCAAAATTAGAGAAAATATTCCTTTTACTTTTCAATACTCACAAGTCCTCTATATCTCTTTAACTTTCAATACCAAAAACCCCAAGGAACTAAAGAAGTACATTGATGTATCGAGATGGGATCTCTGATCAGGAGTAAGCAAGCTTGAGGAACTTGCTTCTCTCTTGAATTGCATAAGGAAAGATTTATGGCAGTTGCTTCTTTACAAGTTTTTCTTGAGAGTTTTCCTATTTACATTTCTTATTAATATATCTCTTATTAATACATAAACACTTTTAAATATTTATGTTCTTGACTTAGAGGACTTTATTTCATTTCAAAACACAAACTTTCACATCAACTTTGTTTATATCAATGGCCTGGGAACCATTGGTAAATATAAAAAACAACTTCTATTATCATTCAATATATTTTACTGCACTACAAAAAATTAAAAATTCTTGCTCAAAAACTTTTTTTCCAAAAAACCGCAATCAGTTTGCTTCTGGCAACTGATCAACATTCTATCTTCAACCAATCACACATTATCAAATATTCAAACACGTCTATCATACCTGCCAAAGATTAATGTAAACAATATCAAAAATAGAAATCTGTTCAATTATATAACCTTATTTTATTAATAAACACCAAAACAACAAATACGTTCCATCAATTATCAATCTAAAAATAACAATACAGCTCTAACTTTGCAAATCAACAACTACTATATTTAAACTTATCATACTCAACCAATCATTTAACTAATCAATCACTACTATCATATACTATCAACTATCAAGGATATATGTTATTATTACAATTATATATTTTGGATAGTAGCCTGGCCAATAGATACAATATATTTTTTAGTATACTCAAACAGAATGGAACTACCAGAGTAGTATGCCAAATAAGCATCCTTAATTATATAATTAATGTTACTACCATATATTTAAATAACTATCCAACCAATCAACAATCATCACCATATACTAGCAACTATCAAGAAGACATATCATCATTACTACTATATACTCCGGACAGTAGTCTGGCCAATCGATACAGTATATTTTTCAGTATACTTAAACAAAATGGAACTATCAGAGTGGTGTGCCAAATAGGCATCCTTAGTTATATAACTAGTTTTATTATATTTCTCACTTATATAGCATCAAACATAGAATTTTTTATTCTTTTTTTTTTCTTAATCTTTTTTTACTTTCCATTTTATTTATGACTAACAAAAAATTCTGAGTAAGTAAGCATAGCTGCTACTCAACTATATTTAACATATATAATATTATTTTAAAATTTCTTTTCGATATTAGCTAGGTATAGATATGTAGGCAGGCTAGCATTTAACTCATTGTATGCTTTTTGCACCCAAGAGATGTTGTTTCTTTCATTATATATATTTATTAATATATAAATAAATAAAGAAATGATGTTTACCTACCAGAAAAATATATATATTCAAATCTTAATCAAATCAAGTTAGGTTATATAAAAATAGAACTTTTGATCTTTTTAATAATTGTGGATTGAAAACAAATTAAATCAGAAAAGTTTATATAAGATAAGACTTTTGATTTAATTTTTATAAAAATTTACAATCTTTCTAATATAACAAATTCCATAGTATAAAAAATATTCCAGCTTAAAGCTATTTCAATCTAGTATTTGCTTAAAAAAAAAGAATCTGATAAAAAAAGAAATTTAAAGCTATAAATAATAATAATAAGTATAATATTTTTTTTAAGGTTTCAAGTAAAAAGTATTAAATAAATTATTCAAGTATTCTAATTAATCCTAAAAAATATATATTTTTAATAACAATTATCAAGATCTAAATTAAATTAAATAGTTTATAAATTGATAGTAATATTTCTATTTTCTAAAAATTTCACTCAAATATATAGATTAATCCTAATAATAATAAACTTATATAATTAAATAAGGCTATAAGTAAAAATATAAATTAACTCAAATAAATTTTATAATTATATAATTAAATTACTCAATAAAAAATTATGTACTACCAATATTTTTATATATGAAAAATAAAATAAAATAAATTTATAAAAAATTTTTCAAAAAAATAAAAAAAACAATTTTAGCTTAATATTATT